AAAAAAAAAAAAACGAAAGAAAAAAAGAAGAAAGAAAGAAAAATACCCACTATATTACATCTCAAAAACTGCCACCTTGTTTTTACCGCGTGAGCATGTTCTAAGGTTCTTTTAAAATTACCAAATGTTTTAGATAAATTTAGCCGATGTTTTAGTTAGCCAGATAAATATCTTCCTGTGCAAATACTCTTGTAAAAATGCAGTTAAGTAGAGTTAAAACTAATAAATTGATATCTTTAGGCAATTATCGCACTGGGAGACAAGTGAAGCTTTACTTTCATTATTTACCGGACATTAACATTAAAATTGACAATTTCACTTTCGTAAGAGATTTTTTACATTCAAAGCCATGGAAGCTGTGCAAATATGAGATTTAAAGCATCTGAAGACTATGAAAGTGAAATAGTTTTCAAATCAGCACAAGTCTGTCATTTCATTGTAGATTTTCAGTAGAATTTGATTCGCAGAAAATTTTCGTGTTTGGAAATCTTTTGCTGTAAGTTTAGAAGTTTCCATTGCTTAAGTGTGACTGAAAATGTTATTCGGATCTTATTCCCCTTGTCTTTCCTATTTAGCTAAAAAAGGCAAAGAAGTATAGAATTTGTTCAAAACCATCCAAAAACATATTACCAGAGGCTTATCAAATTTCGGCCGGCTGGCGAGTTTCCTACGTCATGGTATGCAGCTAGAATTGCTTTAACAAATATTAGGGTTTAAAAAAGGATGAAGAACGAACTTCTTTTTTAAATAAATTTAAGATCAAAGAATCATTCGATATTCTCATAAACAAGCTAGTCTGTTAGATTTGAGATATTGAATCAAATTCGATGGAGAGAGAGAGAGAGAGAGAGAGAGAGAGAGAGGGATCTAGCCGGTTGGTGTATTAGGATTTCTCTATTTAGCTCTTGATAATGAACTTGTTTCCTTCCTGAACTTGTGTAGGAGAACATTTTTATTTACACGGATAAGGAACATCCACCCACTCACCGGATTCTCTCTTCACAGGCCTTTTAGTCTGGATGACGGATCAGGCAAATTATCGATCCACTGCCTTTGAAGCTGGTAGCATGCATTCATCCACAACACAACATCAGCGCCGGCCGATGAGCCAGAGAGACTTCAATTTAAGAATGCTTAAGTTGCAGAATATTTGGTTCAAGAATTGAAATATTCACGAAAGTATTAGAAAAACTGCATGATTTTGACTTTGTAAGCCCATACTGGTGTAGTTTGATTGCACTTACTTTCGATCTAATGCCAAGGTAGCAGCATAAAATTAACAAGAAACTCCCGAGGATTACAAACAAAATTTACACTGAGGACATTGGTGTTTTGTTAATGTTGTTCTTATATTAAAAAATAAAAAATGAATGAAGTTTGTGTGAATTTTGACTTTCCTAGTTTATGACTTGTTTCCTCTTTTTAATTTTTTTTTTTTTTTTTTTGGCAGTATCAGCTCCTCCCAAACTCAAGGCCAAAGACGAGCCAGTTTCCAATTTTCAACCTCTATATTCTCCTGAGGCATATGAATCTGTTGTTTTCTCCTAGTATCATAATCAAATAACGATAAGGAAAACCTTAGACAATCGTCAGTAACAAACAAGGCAAACGATCATTCTATTGATCGAATCAATGATTATAGTGTTTTAACTTAATTTCCGAAATATTGACACTCGGATTATTACGATCCATGCAAGTTACGTTAAACTCAACGAACCTCAGTTTTTTGTCTTTCTAATCAAGTCTGATATCAGTATATGGAAAGCAGCTAAGTGCGTGATCATGGTTTCCTGGAGAAGATTGATTGTAAATTATATATTTACAGGAGTAATGACGTAGTGCGTTTTCGGTTTTGTTTCTCCAGTGATGAGAAAAATAACAATGGTTCGAACCGGATGTTGTAAATGCTTGATAATTTGTAGTATCAAGATGTAAGCCTTATCAATAGTAATGGTGTTATCAATTATCTTGTAAATAGCGATTTTAAAATAGGGCCCATCAAAAAATCACTGCATCTGCAAGGATAAGATATTAGTCAAAGCAGCTAAACTCTATTCACAATAAAATCATATTTTCGAAACTCATTTATAGAATTGTCTCCCGTTTTGAAAGCATTCTTTTCTCCTTACAAAAACAACGGCAACAATTGATAAAGCTGGTCTTTCAAAGTTGTGTGAGAATATTTATTGGAAAGTGTGTCCCTACTTTCATTTCAGCACGAACCAGGCTGTTTTTAGTTCAATTTCGTTTTCTATGACTTCTCTTGCTGCAATTTAAACTAATATTTATTTAGATTGGGGAAATTTTAGATCGTGAGTAATGACTTTCTTTTTCTTTTGGTAATCAGTTAAGAACATTTCACAATTGCAAAAAAAAAAAAAGGTAAGCAAACGAGGTCTAATTTTAGAAACATTTTTAGAGTTGCATCAAACGAACACACACGAAGAATACTTCAACTTGGCTTCAACATTTTAATTATAAAGTAAAAAGTCCATTACATTGTTATTGAATCTGTTTTGTTTTTTACATGGGCGGAAAACTGGTGGCGGAGATAGGACTTAAGATCTTCAAATTTGTTTTGAAACCCAATCTTTACTGCAAACACTTTACTTAGCGATGAATAATTTGATGCTAAAACGGATCCAGCTCAATTCAACCGTTCATGAATTCTTTATTTTAAATCTTTGGGGTTCTCTTCCAAGAGGGGATACATTTTCTGAAGATTTGTCATGGTTTTAAGGTAGAAAAAAGGCGAATATGCAAATGCTAGCCCTACCAAGCTGTAAAAATTACAGGTAGTTTCTGATTTTCAATGGTCTTTATCTTGGTAAATTTACATCCAAATAGAAGCGTAGGATCCAAAAATCTTTTTTCGCAACCTGTTAATTTTTTTCATAACGTTTTATAAGATCTTAAAACGGTATTCAAAGGAATCATCAAATGATATTGAATATGAGCCATACAAAAAAGATCACAATCAATAACTTAGTCGTTTTTACAGAAAAGTTCGGATAATGTGTTTGTTTATCATTAAGAAGTTTATTTTTTTCACGTTTCCACTAAATCAATTCCTGAGAAGTTTATGGAGTTTTCTCAAATATATTTAACTTTACTTTGTTTCATTTAATATTTCAAAAGAATTTTTCTTTGAAAAGAAATGCCAAACGCGTTTTCCGCCATTGGTTTTTCCCGCCATTTTTTTAGTGGAACATTCTAGAATTCAAAGGTGTTTTCAGCAGGCGTTTTCCTCAGTCCAGTCTATTCTTTAGGAAATTTTAGAGGATTAATAATTGTTCCCAAATTGTTTTTTCTCATTAAGCCGCTTTATTTAACCCTAGAACAAATAACATYGTTTATACCTTGATGAGTCTAGATAACGTTAGTCAACTACAGGACTATGAACTTGACTGGGAGTTTAAGTTGCTGTCATGAGAAAACTTTTACTTCTTAATCACAAACAAACCTAGTCTTTTTCACTAGCATATTCGAATTTCGCAGTCGTGAGCCCCAGTTCATTTTTTTCGGTTGAAAGGAAATACCACTGCGGGTTGATAAACAAGCCACAGACTCAAAACTGTCATTGTTATTATGATTCTCGCTTTTTTGTGTTCACATATGTCGGTTACTGTTTTCCCCGGCGGGGACCGAAAGGTTCCTAAATTCGATAAGTTAAAAAATCAATTATAACAGGTGAAAAAGTGAACTGATTGATATAAATATTTAAATATTAATTTCAAATCTTACTTTTGTGGTTAAAACGTAGCCCAAATTTTAGGGTTTTGAAGACGTAGGTTAGGG